ACAAGGTCAACAATAGACGAGGGCCACTGCGGTATCGACTCAACGCTAATAAATAGTATCAGAAGGAGGCAAAAGGACGCCACGGTGAGCGACTGTAAACTCTAACTGATTCTGACTAACTGTGTCTGTATAAAACTAAAGGACAAACCATGCTGCAGAGGTGGTGGGAGGGCAAGCGAGAGAGAGAGAGAGAGAGAGAGAGAGAGAGAGAGAGCAAAATGGAATAAGTAACAATGCGCTCTCCAAGTAGAAATATCTCGAAATACCTAGCTACAACGCTTTGCGCTGCTTCTATTAATAGTGTTTATATCTGGTGAAGAACAAGCAGGCTGACGAACAATTCGACCATCTACGAGGATATCAAATAAGGACGGTAGCGAAGTGGCATTGATTTTATGACGTAAGGTCTGCGGGGGCCCCACTACTTCTATTTGGCTAATGGCTTCGAACTGGAACATGCTAAGCTAGAACAGAAATGCGCGATAGAGACCCGGCTAACTAAGATGGCCGTGTGTTCAACTTTTTCGACAAGCTTTATGAGACGAAGGCGTACCCTGTCAACAGTTTTCAACAGGGAATTATAGTCAACGACTGAATTTAACGATCGCATCAATAACCTATGAGTAGCATCTTTCAAAGTTGTTGGCTTCATTCGGTATTTCCCCATAGTTCTAAAGGAATGACACTTCAAACGGTTTGTAGCGTTTTGTTGTATTTTGATTATCTTGCTCCCGTTAGTTACGACTGCCAAAATACCCTCTATGAATTAAATGGCATATACATCTTATTTATACAATAGTTTGAACCCTGTGGAAGCATGATATAAACTGAAAAGGGCCAGAAAAGCAGCCACACGATCGTGCAATGAAAAAGTTATATAATTATACTCCTCATAAGCGTGTAATCTCGTATTTAAAGGACCTCTGATGTATAATTTTGATAATCAACCTCGTGAAGTGCCAATAGCAACCTTCGGATCCCTCCGATCTGACCCGATTCTATTCATGTTGTTCAGCGAGTGTGTAATGTATGATAAACTGCTATTTATTTGCGTTTGCAAAAATGTACTTCTTTCCAACTGCCGTATCGCTGTAAGGTGTTGCCACGATACCTCAACAAGTATTGAAGAAAAATTAACTCCGCGTAATTGACATTTACCCGACGCTTATCGCTTGGATATAGAGTCGAGCGATGTGCTGTTGTTAACTTGATTCATACCATGAGCTGACGTCAATATGCATTGTATTGATGACGCATAAATGCTATTTTTTGGAGCTATATCTCGTTCATTTATGTACGAGTCTTCTTTAAATATAAGCAGAAAAGAAGGATTTGTTCAATTCATTAGTTGAAAATAGCGGCCATTACCAACAATTTGATACATTCGAAGAGCTCATTTTTGACACAGAATCTTCTTAGTTGCGTCGAAACGATGTAGAACTTGATGAGTTTATATGGATATGTTCTCTATTCCAGCTGCACACTTTTTATTTACCACATTGCACCGACTTGTTTGATTTTTGTCGCAAAATAGTTTTAACCAATGGTATCCAAACGACATTCTACTGCCGTAATTGTATGCGAAATTTTCGCTTATTCTATAAATGTAAGTTCGACTTGATTTAACGTCTCACATAACCTAATACTTATCGATTTACCACAGAATAGTCTAAGTTCACAAAAATTTAACTGCTGTTGTCTAGAATGGATTTTATTCTATAAGAGTTGTTCCCGCTGGCAGTCTCAGTTTAAATCCGCCCGTGAGGCCCAGTTTCATAGATATCATCATCTCACTACTGCCACGAAACTACCTTCCATCGAGGGTCAATTCAAGCACGAAACGATCATGAAATCTTGAAGTGTGTAGTAAGTAACAACAAACGTCCATTGTTACTATGAAATATTTAAAAAAAAACGAATAAGGCAAACCTTTGAGTCCAATTAGCGGTTGTTTATTAACAACTGTGTCCGAATGTATATGCGCAAAAGGAGTCTATAGGAGCATCCTCTTTTTGGAAAAAAGATATCTTTTTGATCGTGGTTCGAGTCAGACGATGTTGACAGAAAACAAAAACTCCACATGCTTAAAGCATTAATAGAGTACACCCTTAAAGACACTAATTTTAAAACAAAATATTGCTCTTACTCAATAGAGTATATAAGTTACCTATGTCTATTACAGCTTGTTCCCAAAACGCTACGTCAATTGCATACTTTCGGCCACGTATATCGACTGTGAAAACTACTCTGGCCTACGTTTCGCTCTAACTACAGCGAATAACTTCTTATCTGGAAAAAATTCGTTCATTTTCGCTTATGCTGGCCACCCTAAGGACAGCCAAAATACTATTGTGTCACGTTAATACGAGTCTCGCCACTAGAAAAGATTTAAAGGCTACGACATACATGCACACACATGTCGGCGAGAGCACTTCGTTTCGCAACAATCTCAAAGAGCATTCAAGCAGCAGCGTTAGTGGAGTCTGAAGTTGGCTTTTTTTGCGCTAATCCCATCTTTACGACTTACGTTAGTTGCAACGTAATAGACTTTCCCGTATCTCCTGACCGAAGAAATTACGAAATGAGTCCTAAATGACAGCCGGACACTGTGTACTCTTGCTTTTGTCTAGTCGACCACTAGCAAAATTTGGTTTGTAAGAGAACCTGTCTAATCTCCCGCTTGTACGCCGACGGAGTGTGCAACCTCAGGAGAAGAAGGAGGACTTCAAGAAGTGCTGGAGTTACCTCGAGTACCCTAAAACCCTCTCTTTCTCTCTAGCAACCCCTACGCCCCCGTCCACCTAGCGGCTAGCACAACGGTAGGATCTAAATAAGGCCGGTCGCCTTCGAAACGTCGCCACGCAGATGTAACTTGGCAGCATTGGAGCTAAACAAGAGTCGGCTACGCACAGATTTACTTTGCAGGTGGATTACTGGAGTTTAAGACGCGGTCCAACCTAGCGAAACCGCCTGCTTGTTGCGGTCCCATGAGAGGAAATCCCTTGATTTCTCTGTAGCATCTGCCTGCTAGACCCGATTCTGCAGCCTGTGAACCGTAAACTGTCTCTGAACTACTTTCATGATCAACTTCACTACCTTTTACCTAAGTCCTGTATCTAAACTACCAACTCCAGGGTTGTCATTTACTGCTCGGTGCTTCAGTCAACAAACACCAAAACAAACGACACATTCACGTTCTCTTCCTTTTCTGAAGCTATGGCCAGCGTAGAAAGACTCACTTGGACCTTACTATCTTAGACGGGTGCGATTTACAATGTTCGACAAACCCAAGAGATGGCTGCTGTCTCCAAACTTCCCAGTCTGTTCTATATATACTGATTCTCTCTTAGGGGACTTACGGACAAACAAAACGAGGCGGCGATATAATTATTTGGGGACTTGGCAAGTGACATTCATGACTGGCATTTCTTTCCCTATCACTTTCTCTCTTTACAGTGTCGTTTGGCTGCAGAACTGGGGGAGAGGTCTGTAGGGTATTTTTGGACATTTCCCGCGGGACTTCCAGTTCAGAAGCTGGCAATCTGCAAGATACAGCAAACAACGCACGGTGTTCTTCAATGGACTTGATAAGCGGAGTGGTGCACGCAATACTCTGTTATATAGGCAGCATGCACATAGTAGTATTGAAAACAGTTATGTTACGGCAATAGTTCTGTATGTGAACAGTCTATGTTAAAGGTAATTCAATGGCATTGATTTATACATGAAAAAATCCTTTCCTTTATATATCCCTTCCTTATATATATATATTATATATATATATATATATATATATATATATGCTCAACAATAACCCCAAAATTTGTCCACAAAGACAACACCACCGTCGTGAGCTACCGGTTGAAAATATTTTGCTGGGATAGGCTATTTCGGAAGATTTATCTTCCTGCGGACTAAAACCCAATCTGCTACCACTATGACATAGTGATGTTATCTCTCAGGCATCGAAAATACTTTAGATAATTACTTTTGATTTGCTTTTTTTAAGTCCTTTTCTACCAACTCAGTAATTTCAGAAAGATCTCACTCAAAATTCTTACTTGAAAAAGATACCAGCCAATTGTGGAAGCGACTATGGCACACAAAGGTGGCTTGTATCAAAACAATTTTTTTTCATTTGGAACCAGTGTCTTCGAACTACATAGAGGCATTTAATCTTTCTCGAAGGTAACAACTGTTAAACATATTTTTCTTTTAATAGTAATTTTTTCACCAGCTTTCTCTGTTATTCCACACTCGATTAGATAGATACAGTATATACTGATTTACAGCGATGTATGTACGATATTTGTTAGGGTTACCAACTATTAAGGACCCGATTTAGATCTTCTTTGCTTGAAGTAACCACCATCACCACTATCGATGCTGTAGCCTGTGCCTTTGTCAGTGAAGGAGAAAAAGATATTTTTTCCGCCCAATCAAATGCCTTCGTTTATTCTCCTGTTGCTTTGTTTGCCATATTTGGCGACCGTAGGTGGTTGATACCATTTCATACCATAGAATCAGATTTACCTTTGAGTCGACGCCAAGAAGCTTTTCAGTTTCGTTCAGCATTAGTCCTTCCAAAAGTCACAACATTTTGCGTTCCATGTATTCATCAGTTGGGCTTTATCGTGGTCCCTTCTGCGGGATTCGTAGCTGACGGTCATCAGTGTAGCGCCCACTAGATAATCGCGGTAGGATAAGTAGTATTATGGTTGAGCTACCCACTATTGCTGGTTGAATGATTGCCTGGCTGCTGGCGCCTGCCTGCTGGTTGCAGCACACCTCATAGAGTTACGAGAGACATTAGTTTTTATTATTAATATTTATGATTACGCCGCGCGGCTCACTAGCATTAAGCGCAGATGGTGGCCGCAATTGTGCGAACGAATAATGACTTATTAGGCGTGTTCCTTGAATCTCTTCTCCTGGTCCTCTACTGGGTCCAACAGACGACCCACCCTTATCGACCATGTTCCAACTTACCATTCGCCACGCGTATCCGAAAACTCCAACATTCTTCGTCGCCTTCAGTCGCCTTCCATCTCGCCTTAGCCAAAACTATTAGCAGTCGAACGCTATCCTCCGTCCGCCATCTTTTCTGACCCTCGCCGAGTTTCTCCAATAATTTAGTTGCTCTCTCTCTGTCTTAGTTACGTTTCGCTGTACTGATGTCGATGTGCATTTTACGAGCGATCGGTATTAGCTATACAGTGTCAATGTTAACAAGTAAAGTAAACCTTCCATTTCAGATCAAGTGACAGACGACGACGATTATCATTTTAGGGTCTAGTTTATGTGGTATAGGCACTCGCTCAGCCACAGTGCAGAAGGGCAAGTGGAAAAAACCCTTCCGTTTGTGCGGAAAATACCCTCGTTTTAAGTGTGTAAAAGATCGGCGCAAGTATGACAGGCGTATCTCCGGCGAAAATAGCTACGACCTTCAAACTGCGTAGTCTTCTGCAAAAGCGTAGCAGTGACCCTGAGGAAAATACATATCTCCGAGGAAGATCTTTTGGGGAAGGTGTCATAGCGTTCTTTCTCTCTCTCTCTCTTCTGTCGCGGTCTCAGATGAGTACAGATGGAGCCGCGTTTGGGCCAGTGAATGACGACATGTTGTCGTTTTAGGCGAGGCAGTGTATCTGAATTTGGCTCAAAGCGGCAGTAATTAAGTAACTGGAATTAGCGATGCTGGTGTTTCAAACGTCTCCATCTCTTAATAGTATCGAACTATTGAGTACCGTACCGCAATGTGTGTTGTCTGTTTCCTTATCTAAAAGTGTTTAAGTACTTAGTTAGCCATTGGAACTCGTGTGTTGCTTAAAAATGCTTTCTGTTGTTAAAATTTTCTTAGGAGATACTATCATGGCTCTGAGATAATTTCGATGTTCCGGGACTGAAGCAACGATTCACCACCAGGCATCCTTAGCAGAATATTAAGCTGAGTGTAATCTAGACAAATGGTTAGTTATTCAGTGATGATTCATTTATCATAAAGTCGATAATTTATCGCCTAAGCTGAAGTCTCTACCAAATACGTGGACATTTTGGTAATGATTTTCGCTTGATTTATCATCCTACTATTAATGTACGCGTGCGCGCGTGTGCGTCTAAGCGCGTATGTGTGCCTGTACATGCGTGTGCATGCGTGCACATGTCTGTGTGTGTGTGTGTGTGTATCTAAAGATTTGTTCACAGAGCGCAACAAGACTCCTGGGTACTACTACAAGTCTTTCAAGGTCGATACATTATTAAAACATCAAGTAAAAAAAAAACAAAAATATGACACGCAAAAGAACTACCATTGATAATACGAAGCCCATAATCCATGTTCGAAATTTTCTTCGTGAAACTACGTATGTTGCCATTATTTAAATCCATGTTAGCCGAAGAAAAGTTTGCCATTTAAAATATGATGATAGGTGTGATTTATGGCAGATACATATAATATTGGTTGACAATTTCGATGATTGATAATTATCTACGAATAAGAGAGGTAACTGCTTAGAGCAGTGCAGGAATAAAGACTGTATTGAAAAATGATTCAACACATACCTCTAAACAAATCGGCACTCCCTCAGCATGCACTACTGATTCAATATGGCAGTTATAATTCTCGCACGTTCCGAAATACACTTCATAGCCCATAACTCTATACACTTTTTGCCAAAATGTATTATTTAGCGCCTATAACTGTCGAAATAATCACTAAGAATAGTATGAAAAGTATAGTTGATAATGAGAGAGATATATTCGCTCGGCTACTGTTAGGAAAATAAGTCAATGTCTTAACAAAAACCTCCTTCAAGCGCTATTCTTACAGCGGAACCTTTCGATTTATGTTCGGTCGGGTGCCACAAAAAAGTGTACCCTTTTTGCGGCGTTTAGTCGTAGGTTTTGGCCATAAAATTTTGCCTTACTCAAACTAGTTTTGGGTACAAACGATTCAAATGTGTTTACGATAATGGCCTTTTCTGTTTTTGCTGTACGTGACAACGCTTTTTTCACTGTAGCTTGCGAATTATGTGCCAGCAAGCGCATTATGACCTATAAACCGCATGAGCAAACCTAAAGAACACGACCTAAGGACTGCACGAAGTATCTTCACATAACGTTAAATCTTAATCTAAAGCGACTAGTTTTTTATTCTGTAATATTAACATTTCATTATACAACCTTGTTTTTTTTGCATGTGAGAGCACAGACATTTGTGACGGAGACCCTGACAGATTAGAAAATTTGAGAAAAAATTTGTTAAACCTTATTATTTTGTGTCTGCTATCAAAACAGTTCAGTATTCAGTTCAAGGGTTTTCTTCTGGCAACTTGCGGCATTGGACATTCCCAAATTTCACTCAAAACTTCGGATGCTCACATAACACTATAGCTAGGATCTATATACATATATATATA